CTCCAGTTCCCCCTTCAGTAAAATGGGAGATAATATCACATTCCTTGTTGATGTCACCCCTGGTTGTAGCAAGGATCCAATGACATGGGTTACAGAGCTATAAACTTCAAGGACACCAATAAATGTACACTGTTGTTATTCTTGAATAAATGCTTACATTATCACAATCATATGAGGCTATTTATATAATAGCCTCCTTAATCATTTCCTTAATTCTGAGAGGATTATAATTTATATTCAACATTTCACATTAATTTAGTAAAACAGAAAAAAGATGTATTCTTCAATGATGATGAATTATGTATGCAAAATATATGTCAAGAAAACACGATCATCTTATTTTTCAGATGGGCAATTATATGAGTTTCTGGAAAGAAAACGTAATTCAACTTTTAAGTTACTAACTTTAGCAGCAAGAAGCATATCTAATCATCATGCCAAATGACTTGGATAAATTGCTAAATATGAATGGGGGGAGAATTCAACTGATGCAAAGGAAAGGTCTTTTCATCAGAAATAAAATTTTAAAGGGAGGTGGAGATAATTTAATGTAACCGTAAGACTGACTGGAAAATATTGAGTTGTGTTTGCTTTTTCACGAGGACACGAAGAAATATATTCAACTAAAGAGAATGAAACAAGTAACCAGTCATCTTTCTCCTTTTAATGACAACTATTTTTATTATGGCTTGCAATGTCTTGAAGCTAAGGCCAAATTAAGTTGCAAAACTAAATCAGTTTTTAAGTAAATATATGAGACAAATCTAGTTGAACAGGTCCCCATCATATAATTAGAAAATAAGCTTTTCTATTTATTTGTAGGATACCATAAAGAAGGATAAATGCAATTCTCAATGTCATATATACAAAATTGCATTGATACAGATAAGAATGAAAATGAAATATCAATAATGTATGATGAATCATTTTCTTGAGTTTCCAGAAGCCACTTAAAAATTAAAATGAAAGGATGCCATGATTAATCTTTCATTACATAAGGACATTGAAAACAATATTACTGTGGACATCAGACCCTTTGATTCCATTATTCTGAATAGACCCATTATCCCCAGGGGTATGTCCTTTCACCCTGGAGTCACAGCTCCTTCCACCAGGATTACACATCCTTCTACTTTCTAGTTCTGTCTGGCAATCCATTCTCTTCCTAGTGTCTTCTTATCAAGAATCTATAGGGCCCTTGGGCACTCAATTTTCCCTGTATGTCCCTCCAGATTCCTTCACCGCCCTTCATCCTGCTCTATGCCTCTGGAGGCTGGCATCAATGGACTGCACAAATTAGGCTTTATTGACATCTGGCTTTTAGTTGATTTCAGCCAATAGGAGGCACCAGCAGGAGATCAGAGTTGGGAAGAAAAGAAAAATTCCAGTATTTATTCCATTAGCTCCCTTCCAGCTAAGCAGAAATTTGGTCGTTGCTTTTTTCTGTTGAAAGCCAAATTCAAAGAAACAGAAAATAGACTGGTGGTTTTCAGAGACTTGGGGGAGGTGATAATGAGGAGTGATTGCTAATGGATATGGGGTTTTGGTGGGTGATAAAAAATGTTCTTGAATTAGATAGCGGTGATGGTTGCAAAACTTTGCAGGTATACGAAGACCATTTAATTGTGCATATTAAAATGGTGAATTCTATGATGTGTAAGTAATATCTCAATTAAATATGGATAGGAAAGGGCCGACCGAGTGGCACATTGGTTAAGAGCTGGCTTAGAACACCAGCTCTGAGCAGCAGGGCCCTGGTTCGGATCCCACATGAGGGCCAGTGACACTGCCCTCTACAGCTAAGATGGTGAACAACAGCTCAACCTGGAACTGGGTGGCCGTGAGTCACCAGCAAAGGCGTAGGCTGCAGTGAGGCTTCAGTGGCTGCGGGTGTGAGCTGCCTTCCAATGGCCGGCGAGTGACTGCCTCAGCTGGCAAGAGCACAATGATCACAAAACCAAGATGGGCCAGTAACGCGACATCCTCCACAACTAGACTGAAGAACAAAAGGACAGTAACTTGTCTGTTCCCCTTCCCCCATTCCCCAACGCTGTTCCCCTCCCCCAATTCCCCAATAATAATCTTTAAAAATAAAAAAATAAAATAAAATAAAAATGGATAGGAAATATATTGGGTTGTCGGAAAAGTTATGACGCATTTTTGCAACGAAAAACAGAAAAAATGCGTCATGACTTTTCTGACAACCCAATACCTTGGGATATTATTCAGTCATAAGAAGAATGTAATCGTACTATTTACGATAACATCAATGGACTGCGAGGTTATTATGCTAAGTGAAATAAATCAGAGAAAGACAAATGCCACATGATCTCACTTATATGTGGAATTAAAAAAAAACCCGAATCTCACAGATACAGAGAACACACTGGTAATTGCCAGAGGCAAGGGGGTTATGGGGTAGATGAAATAGGTGAAGGGAGTCAAAAGGTACAAACCTCCAGATATAAAATAAATAAGTCCTTGGGATGTAACGTACAGTGTAGTGACTATAGTCAATAATAACGTATATTTGAAAGTTGCTAACAGAGTAGATCCTAAAAGTTCTCCTCACAAGAAAAAAAATTATAACTGTGTGTGGTGATGGATGTTAACTAGACTTGTTGAAGTGATCATTTTGCAATATATAAAAGTATCCAATTATGTTGTAAACCTGAAACTAATGTGTTATGGTCTATTATACCTCAATAAAAAATGGATAGAAAAGTTTCAAATCCAACATTTGTAGTACAAATCAAAGAAAATATGGATAGTTTTTAAAAAGAAACACTGAAAACTGAAATCATAACATAAAAATACGAACCAAGAAAAATGTATCATGTATCTCAGTTAATGTAAATAGACGGGGCGGCGGCGGGGGGCGGGGGGAGAGAGAAATCCACAGTTTCTGAAAGGTGGCTCTCTCTTACAGCTATAGCTCTTTCCAGTTTCCAGTGATGGCGCCACTCTTGTACCTTCAGGCCTAGGATGGTAAAAGCTCCCACCTGCTGTGGGCTCCAGCTATACCTAGTTGGCTTCATTTAATCCTGAGCACAGATTTTCATAAATAATCTTTTCGGTAAACCCTCCTCAAGTAACCCATTTGAGTACATCCTCTGTTCCCAGCCAGGACCCTTTCCCATATAAGCCACTGCTGCCCATGAGATCATATCCAAACCCATCTCTCTGACCTTTAATTCCCTGTTTTGCAAGCTGAGATTCAGCATTCCTGTCCCTTCTACATCACCTCTAGCACATGTTTTCTGGACTCTATTTTGACTTTGTACTTTGTTTTAAATTCACATATAATTACTTAGTTAAATGTAGGATATATTTTCCCTAAAAGTGACACATAAATTCACTCTTCATACTTCTCATAGCTTTTAGTCTTGGAAGAGGCACTAGTTAGGAGCTGGGTTTGAAATTTTAATTCATTATTTCTTACTTTGCTTCATCTCCTTTCCAGCCTTTCCTATTTTCTTTCAATGTTAACCAATACCTTCATCCCTATTTTTTTCCTGGAGTCAATTATTATAACCCTATAAGTCCCGAGGTCCCCTTTATAAAGCCACTAAATTAGATTATTGATGACAAATCACAGAACTCGGAGTTTGTAAGCCTGAAAGTTCTTTGCTCTCTTAATATAACAGTGTGTATTTTCCACCCTTCAGGGCACAATACTGAGCTCATCTTAAAATGGTTTTTGGCTGATCAAAGGAAGGAGGTCAATTTACTTGGAAATGCTATCATGTTTACTTAAACTCAACGCTGTTGCTAGTTCTTGTAGTGTATTTAAAAAATTCAAGTAAAGGATGCTCAAGAGTCATATTGCCTGTTGTCACAAGGCTGTTGGACCAGGGAGGATAAATAAAGATGAGACTGGAGTGGATTTTTGGAACCAGATTCCACTTTGGCTTAATGCTTCAATCTATTACAGTCTCTTTATGTACCCCCCAAGGGCCAGCTTGGGTTCTTCAAGACATGGCCAGAACACATTCCATAGATGATGATAGAGAGGGAGGACTTTTTGCCCAGAGTAGAAGGGTCCAGTTTTATTTTCCTGGTAATAAGCTTAAGAGGAGCACTCTTTAGAGAGGAGTGAGATAAGTGAGGGGTAATTCAGCTCCACGGAGTCTGGGAAATGGGAGACCCAGATCAAGCATTCTGGCGCCAACCCAATTGTGGATCGCATGGCGTTTGTTTCTGGTGTCATCTCTGCAGCATGCTGTTGTAGAATGAGCATTGAACTCTGAAGGTGGACAGCTCTGTGTTGGAACCTTGGTTCTGTCATTTACTAGGACCAGGACATACTGGACTGAAGCAGTCATGGAACTAGGTTTCTGGAGAGATTCTGGCTTTGGTGACTTTGAAATCATTTATTCATTCAACGGATATTATATTTTACTGAGTGTCTATGTTCTAGGCCCTATTCTGAGCATGGGGGAATATTAAAAATGGAAGTAGTTGGAAGTCCCTAACCTCATAGAATTTACCGTGACTTTGCAGACTGGCCTTCTCTCCAGCCATCAATTGACCCTAAAAGGGCTGGATGGCACATTGCCCCTCCTGTGTCCATAGGCAATCATGCAAAATGCACTAATTAAATGTCTCCATAATGACTGTGTGCCTCAGGAGTGGCCTGGTGCCAATGCCTTGAAAAGACTGTGCTCCAAATGCCGCTCTCGTCCTGAAGCTAATGGATAAAGTGACCACAGCATATGCCTAGAATTGATCGTTTTCTTTAGATTTAATCAAGTACTCTTCCCTCCTCCCCTGAAAATGTTAATGCTTTCTTTCTCCTACAGCCACTATACCTTAACATGAAAAGAATTAAATTTTCTCCTCTGACTTTTAATTATCCCCTGACAGCTTTGGGAAATGGCATGGGTAACACAAATCAGAAATGCCAGTTGGCTTTGGAATGCATCCTGCATGCTTTGGAAACAGATTTTCTGAGTTACGTTTTGAACGAATGTTAATGTTAATTTGTGTTTCCTTAACAGACACCAACAGATGAGCAGAAAAGGGAAATAAGCCCTTCATGAAAACGATGGCGTGTTGGCAGGACTTTCAAGGATTAACACCATGAAGGTAATTGGCCAGCAGAAAAGGGAGAGGTCATGGGATATTTGCTTTTCTTTTTTCAATTAAATTTGTTGGTGTAACATTAGTCAATGACATTATACAAATTGGACGTGTACAGCTTGATAATACAGCATCTCACTATTCTATTGTGCGCTCACCACCCAAAGTGTAGTCTCCTTCTGTCACCTTGTATTTGACTCCCTTTACCCTCTTCATCCTTCCCTTGATGCCCTTACCATCTGGTAACCACTTGGATTTCTTAAGATTGCCTTTGCAAGTTTTATGTGGTATGATCAAAAAATACGGTGAATGCTTAAATTTCAAAAAATACCCGTAAAACACACATTGCCATTAATCCCCCTCAAAATACTCCCCCTCACTTTGAACACACTTATCCCATCGTTCTTGCCACTTTCTGAAGCAGTACTGGAAGTCCTCTTTCGTGAGTGTCTTTAGTTGCACTGTTGTGGCTGCCTCGGTGTCCTGAATCAATTCAAAACGATTACCTTTCATAGTCATTTTTTACTTTGGGGAAGAGCCAGAAGTCACACGGTGCCAGATCCGGTGAATGAGGTGGATGAGGACACACCGTAATGTTCTTATGTGACAGAAATTGCCGTACCAGAAGCAATGTGTGACATGGAGCCTTTCCGTTGTGATCATAAAATATGGTGAATGCTGCTGCCGAGTGCCATCCAACAGAAAGGCAGGGCTCTTCAATATGGGAAGCAGTGCGTCCAACCTTAGTAACAGTGTGTGACAAGTTTCAACTGGTTTGATGCAGTCAGTCGGGTGTGAGCTAAGGTTGAGAGAAGATGTGTTTTAAAGTGTGCTGTAAATCATCCTCCATCATGACAACGCTCCATGCCACACATCGCTTTTGGCAATTTCTGTCAAATAAAAACATGACGGTGTGTCTTCATCCACCTTATTCACTGGATCTGGCACCGTGTGACTTCTGGCTCTTCCCCAAAGTCAAAATGATTCAGGAGATGAAGGTAGCCATGACAGTGCAACTAAAGACATTCATGAAAGAGGACTTCCAGAACTGCTTCAGAAAGTGGCAGGAATGATGGGATAAGTGTGTTTGAAGCGAGGGGGAGTATTTTGAGAGGGATTAATGGCAATGTGTATTTTACTATAATAATTTTTTTATTTAAATATTCACTGTAATGTTTGATCACACTTCATATATCAGAATTTCTCAACTGAGGTTCCACTTATATCAGTGCTTCTCTAAGTATCTTTGGGAGAGGACTAGTTTTTTTAAAGAAAATTTCATCTAAAAGATTCAAAGTGCTAACTCTAAATTTCTGTACTGTTTTTTTCATCATTGAACTAGTAATCAACAACTAGCACTCGTTCGTGAACCACACATTAAGTAGCCCTGGTTTATATAAATAAAAGGCATCACCTTTCAAGGGACAGATATTATGCTAAATATTTTATAAATATACTTTAGTCTTCACAACATTCCTGTGAGGCAATTCTCCCGTCCTGTGTCACAGATGAAAAAACGAGATTTAGACAGCTTAGGTGATACAGTGAAAGTCCCAAAGTCAATCAGTGGTGGAAAGTGTCGCTTCCTGACGCAAATCTATCCACAGCCATCTTTTCTTAAGGATCAGCGAGTATTGAGGTTGGATCATTTGTAATGTGCAGGATTATTGACAGCAGAATGACATCAGGCAGAATCAGATCCGATAGTCCAAGGTCATAAATTAAAGCTGGAAGCAAAAGACCAGGAGAACTAGGTCAGACATGAGTCAGGGACTAGGTAACTGAAGATAATGGTGGACACTGGGTTGGCTGCTGGATTATGGAGTGTTCTTTGTAAGCAACTACCCCAGTGGGGGAAAGAAACTGAACAAAGGATTTTGCTTTTGTTAAGCATCCTTTTTTCCCCTAAAGTAGCTGAAGATATTCTTATTAATAGATGTCACTGGATTCTACTATCACCTTTCAATGTACTGTCTGTCTGTTATCTCACTACAACTCAGTGGCCCTCACCTTTTTAAGGTGATAGCGTCATCAGTTTCCATCCGTAAAGCTTTACTGTCCATGGCGAAGGGAGGGACGCATCCTTTGGCCCTCTTTGAGGCTCATTTGGGGAGCCTTTATCCTCAGACCAAATGGTATACCATCCAGAGTCATCAGGTTCAAGGACTTGTCTCTTCTTTATCAGAACATTCTCTTCACAGGGAGGCACATCCTGGGAAGCCAACAGAACTGGGATAATTACAAGTCAGAGGGTAAATTTGAATTCTTCTCATGTTAAGGTATAGTGGCCGTAGTAGAAGGAAAGTGTTAGCGTTTTCCAGGGAGGAGAGGGGAGTGCTAGGTCAGCCTCTAAGGCTGGGAGTCACAGGGCGATTACTGAGCTCTTTGTCAGGAGACAGGGAATTCGCTCCTAGGAGACCCACTGGAAACAAAGTGTGGCATCTTAGGCTGGATCAGTCTCTTGGGAGCAGGGGACAATAAAGCTAATATTAGAAACTCATGTTATAAGCCAAAGTAGAAGGAAGAAACACAAGGTGGAAAATGATACAGGAGAAACTGAAAAACATGCACTGTCAAAGCAGGGGTGTCTGGTGAAAGTGGGGAGCCAAGCAAAAAGAGTCTGAGCAGGGGAGGTCACATGTGGCAGACGAGGCGGGAGCATGTCCAAGCCCCAGGGTTTGGCATAGGATCGAATACGTATTTCATCCAAATTGTAGGAAATACAGGAAAGCACTCACACACACACACACACACACACACACACAC